CCTAAGCATAAGCTGTGACACCTTAAACTAATGACTTTTGCGACCTGAAACATGAGTGTGTACGATGCAAATGTGCTGATCAATGGCAGTTTTGCAATGGCGCTGTATGTAATAATATTTAAAATTGTTATGTAACATATTTATTACACGGCTTCTCGGACTTCGGCATAGGGTAACATAACACTACAGGGGTTTCCTGTCATCTTAGTGCAAATAATCTAGTATGTCATCCTCGAAGCCATGTGATATATGTACACTGTCAAATCATAATGACATAAACTATACGGGTCATTTTCAAAAAAAGTCTATTTTTTGAATGACATATTTTTGAAAAATGAAAGTGATTTTACTATGATTTTTTCAACTTTATTTGAATGATATAGTAATAAACTCCTAAAATCCACTGCATTGCATAAAAGAAAATATTTCTTTTAAAAAATATTGACATTTTATCTTAGTCATTTAAATTTTAATGTCCTTCCTGTTACTTTCATAAAAAGAGCTGTAAAACTCTATTTCAAAATTTTTATCAAATAATCTTTTGTATATCGTCAAAAAATGAAAAAAATATCATTGAATGCCAAGATGTTTGACATTCATTTAATATATGAGCGTTTAAAAGCATGTCAAACTACCATATACCAAACAGAAGCAAAATCTATGGATTTTTCTTCATGAAAAGCCTTATTGCTGAATATGTATATGCTATAGTTGAAAAAAACATTCTTGTACATTATTTTTGTGATTATAATAAACAGTTACAGAAAGTTATTTAAATAGGTGCTCTGCCAAAGCAATTTAAACTAGGAAAATACACTGGTAACAGTAAGGACTCGGGTAACAGGAAGGACAAAACAGTAACAGGATGGACAAAACAGTGTAAAGGATGGACAATGAAATCTACATTTTAAAGAAAAATTGACTTTTTTTTAAACTTTATTGGTTAGGAAAAGAGAAATAAATGTAGAATAAAAACATGATTTTGTCAAATCTGGCAAATTCGAGACAATAAAAGACATTTATGTCCATCCTGTTACGAAATTTAATTGTAAAGTGCTATTAAAATATTTATCACTTCAATTTTTGTTTATTAAAGGTACTCTATGCTGTTGCAAAACTAAGAATTTTTCATAATTTTAAGAACAACAAATGATAAAACTTAAATCAGTATATAAATACCAGGATAATTTGTCCCTCCTGTTACAATTTCTGTCCATTCTGTTACAAGAGTGCATATCTTCACATGGTAATATTTTCCCTATCATTTAAATAAGCATGTTATAAAATTTTTGTTAATGTGACATGGTTTTACAGTTAAATTTTACTCAGAATGCATATAATATTTTTTATAAAACACCTGGGAGATGATCATAAAATAACTTATAAGCTGTATGACCATGTATATTAACCAACGGGAAAAAAACTTTCACTCTAAAAAATGTTTTTCCTATTTTTCTGATCAAAAGACAAAAAAGTAGACATTTTTTGAAAATGACCCATATACACACTGGTTTGTCGACGGATGATTATTTCCCTACCATGACAAGGAGCACATGGCGGGTTTGACCGGTCGACAGGGAATGCTCACTCCTCCATGGCATCTGATCCAATGTCTGAGGTTTTGGAGGCCCGTGTTCGCTCTGCTCCTATTTTGTATTATATAATGGATTTTTCAGCTTGAATACTGTTCGCTATCTCCATATATTTCATTGCAGAAAATTTACATTGTTTGTAAGGGTTAACTTTTACAGGAAGGTAAACCTATCAATGGAGAGACTCTATGCTGCCATTTCTCTTTGTATAATAATTCCTTACGAACAATACATAATACTATAAGTACTCGTATTATCCAAAAGAGCCATAACATCATTGAGGGCGATTAATTGAAGGCTGCCTTGTTCGGGAATCATCTTGCGTTTTCTTTTAATTACCCTTGATCATACAAAGGAAAAATGAATATTAATTTCTGGTGTTGAAATGTTAATTTTAATGAATTTTAGCCAATGAATAGATAACGAACAGTATTCAAGCTTGAGGTCCATTCAGACAATACAAGTTATTAGCAGAGCAATCACAGACCTCTAAAACATCAGAGATGGGATCAGGTGCGGGTAAACCCGCCGAGTGCTCCTTGTCTTGATGGGAAAGAAAAAAAGGAAAATAAAATTCTTTATACAATTAGTATGAAAATCGTCAGTCAGCATTTGGCTTAATGATAGTTGTACTTGCTGGCAATGTCATTATCTCGATCATAGAACTTGCAAAATGATGACTGTTTCATAAGTTATGCTTTTTAACATTTTAATTTTCTTTAATAAAGGACAGTCTAGAAATTTTAAATGACATTTAATTTTTTAAAGTCCAATCAAAACCGTGAAGAAAATATATAGCAATCCATCTTTAAATTAAGTGGGTATCTTCAAAGTAGATTTTATCCTCGTGATTCAAGTAGAACAAAAAAATCTAACAAAACCATTTCTTTTAAAATACAAACCAAAGTGGCAGACGTAATATCTTCCAAAATTGCCAATAAGCATCTAATCTTCTCCTTTTTCACATTTCTCTTAACGAGGCTCCATTACTTTGCATTCTTTTTGTAAAATAAAATGCCCCTTATCTTTCAGGCATAATATTTAATCGTCAAAATTTATTATAAATATGCAAAAAAATGGTTCATATTGCACAAATTCAAAAATGACAAGCTAAAACAATTCAAACGCATTTCAAAATGAAAAGGGCATAAAAAAGCAATCCAACACATTGCCTAATTGCACAATAATAGTGTTTTAGTTTCATCAACATATTCATGTATACATACTTTTTATACAAGCAATTATAATTACTGATGTTCGAAAACGAACGTTATAACAAACAATACAAAACATCTTCATATTTTCGGAAGAACAATTAATAACATTAAATTATCTTCAAATGAAAGTAACATAGTTATCTACACTAAAAAAAATTTTTATTAAATCTAAGAGAACGAAAAAAAAGTAAGATTTATATATCCCTATTGACCCAAAACCGGTTTCAAAAGAGAAGCATTTGAAAATTTGAAGCGTTGTTAAGGATGTATTCTTCTGATACGCGGAAAAAAACGTGCATTAAACTTTTCAAATGCTTATATTTTTCTGAAAGTGTAATATCCAAGGAATAATTTAAAGACAAGAAAAGTGTATGTTAGTGTTCATCTAAGAGAGGTTCAACCCTTTGAACATAGGCCAAAATAGAGCATGGGAAATTTCCTTAAAAATGCTACTAGACAATAAAATACCTCATAAAACTTAAATACAGTGAATTAAAACTTAATTTGGCTTAAATTTACTTAAAAGTATTGCAAAGTTGATTTTTTAAACAAAATATGAGCAAATAAATACCAATTAGATAACATGTACCCAAAAATGTTGTTCACCCATGTCAAAATTAGGCACATTTTTCCCTATAAAATTGCTCGAAAAACCAAAGAAAAACATATTTCTACAATTAAACTTTTTAAGAAAATTGTTGTACAGTTTCTTTAGGTATTATGGCTTCTTTTCATAGCATGAAAAGTAGGGGTTAGTGCACATATAAGAAAGTTTTGATATTTTTTATATCCCCACCCCATATTTCTTTTTCAGCATTTAATGAAAATAAATCAAGCATTTAGGCATCAAAGTATGTGTTTTATTCACCAAATATTCAAAATTAGTGTGATAATTTCAGGTAATATTTACAATTTTGTTAGGAAAAGATTTTTAAGAACAAAAAGTAATCAAGTAACACATTAAACTTCACAATAGTCTGTTGGATGTCCTCTCTTTCTCTTGGCCTGGGGGTTCCAGATTGGGTCCTGGTTTTTGGTGTTGGATGGTGGCTTCACAGGGATTAGTCAAATCCAGTCCCACTTTCTCAATCTGATTTTTATGGTTTTCTCCATCTGATTTTAGTGGTTCTTAAACTCTGCTCTCTTCTAAAAGTCTTCATTAGTGATTCTTGTGAAAACAAGACTTACCTGTAAAAAATTTTTTTAGAAAAAAATTAGATTATAATTTACTGGTAATATCATTATTCAAAAAATGGAAAATCGTTGTTTTGTCTATCTGACTTTGTTTTTATGAACCCAGGCCTGTAGTTTAGACTAAAATAATTTCTACATGTTCCATGATGTTTCAGAAATATTCCATTTTTTTAACCCGCATAGGCCGCCATAGAATGAAGCGACCTAGTTTCTTACCGAATGTTAACAGCTAAAATTATAGAAGTTATCTTATTATTTCCTTACGGTATGTCTTTAAATTTAAGATAGAGATTCTGCATTTACAATATCAAAGGTAATTTATCATATACTAAAAGCTAAGTTGTAATAAAAAAGATAATACGAATGTTGTCGCCTGCACGCCTCTGGAGACCTTAGCCCTAACGTTACGTAGGCCTACATGTAACATGTTTATGCTATGTTTGAGTTTGCGATGTGACAGTATAGTATGTATTTCAAACCTTGGTATCTATAACACATAAACATTGCTATTTTCAATCAGTTTGAAAGCAATGTTAACCTACATTTTCGCTTTTCCACTGCGTCAACACACTTCGGCGCTCTTGGCTGGCATGTTTGGGTACCGCTTTCGAGAATGTTCCTGTATGCTTAATTGTGATCTCGACAATTTTTTTAATGTTTTAAAATTTCTGTCGGTTGCCTCTTTTAATGGAGTGCCATTCGGCATTCCTGTCGCTTTGAAACGGGCGATCCCGTCTTCTTGAGTCTTCCCCTCTCGAAGTCGATTTCACTTGTCGACTTTCTTAGGCCTATGTCGTAAATATCGTAATTTTGCACACGTGTTGGTCATTTATAGAACATAGAAAGATTTTTTATTTAAAAATAAATATAGTTAAACATATAAATCATAAAAACTTTAAAAACTTCTTTGTAAATTGTTATCAGTTTGAATTTTACGACATGTCTAAGTACGAAGACCCACTTGGGGTAAATTGATCAGAAGAATTCATCCTTAAAAGCATGCATGTTAGGAGATATTTTGAAAGAAAAAATGATATAAACCAAATGAACACCTTTACCGAGTTATGTCTGTAATGATCTTTATTAAAAACGAGATCAAAGGTAAGTGTAAACCTGTGAAACGTTAATTATTAAAGACCAATGTGTGCATCTTTTAAAAGGGTGCTGGAGACTGAAAACTTTATTATCTCAAAGGTAAAATCGTGATAAAAATGATGAGCATGAGTTCATAATTACAAACATGCAGAAAAATGAGTAGTCGAAGAAGAATCACCTTCCTTCGTGTTTATCCCTGCAAATGTTGTGTAACTGGTATCCTTATAATATACTAGCAATACAGAAAATGCTTCTATTGTATATAATAAGAAATTCCAAAATTCACGGTAATATATAAAAACACTTAATTATAAATGGCAAGGTTATTATTCATAAAAAAAAGACAAACCACTATCTATCATTTATATCTAAGAAGGATGTGCAACGTTGTATCATTAAAATTGAAATTTTACATGTTCAATGGATGCAAGAAACTGGTAGACAAATCAATTTTACGTCAGGCACATGGACAAGCAGACTAACAACTTTGTAACAATTAGTACACACATTCCCTTTTTATCTTTTATATATTCCTTTAATTTACTACTGTAATTAAGTAGTGACGACAAAAAGAAACCTTTATAAAACTTACTGGACAGTATTGAAAACAAATGGAAATGGAGAAAAATGTTTCATGATATTTTTTTTTAATTCTCAAGTTCACATGAGAAAGGAAAGGCCACGGTGACAATATGGTCTTCGTGTTAGGATCTTTTGGTAAGTACAATTATAGCTACCACTACTGCAATCACAACTAGCACGCTAATAACTATTATAGCGATGGTCAGTCTGCGGTTAGAGAGTCTATAGCGCCCTGCCAGAACCTTATTTACTGCCTTCATGTTGTCTCGGTATTGCTGCGTCTGGAATTTGAAACAAAACTTATTAGTGATTGCTTATCAATCATTAATTATGAATAAGAAACAATAATTGTTACTTATCAAATAAATGTACATGAACTGTATTTGTTCATATACTAGATAATGAATATATTGATTCTGCACTGTACAGTTTGATTGAACTTATATTATCCTATATCAACTTCTGTCTTATGAAACAGAATTTGCCCAGAATCTAATGCATTAAAAGAATAAACACTTGCTGTGGCCTTCAGCTCGAAATTAAGATATATCGACGACATACTGCCAAATAACAATATAACAATGGTAATTTCTATTCTTATGTTGATACTGTATATCCTGTTAAGCTTGAGATAAAAGATACCACAATATCTGAAGCATATGTTTCAAAGAACAAGAGCCACTTTGGGCCTTATTTGGCCCTGAGAATTTCTGAAAAATCAAAACCGATCAGTTTAGGTTGCAAATGCAGTATTTATCACTTGGAGTGTTGGTGACCACGTATCTATTAATCGTGACGTAATTTCCCATCTAGTCAATGCATTATGACGTCATAAAATGCGTCATTTTCCTCATATCCTGTAAATTCCTTTGAAAATAACTTTAAGTTGACGCATTTTTTCAATATTTCATATAGAGCACAACCTCTGATCCAAAATATGCAAATACAGAATGAAAGCTGTTTCTGAAGATCAAAAAACATGTTTTATTTTTTTGGATCCTGGGCTGTGCTCATATTTTAATTCTTTGCTGAAGGTAGTCAAATACGCATATTTTCTCCAATTTCAAAAACATTGCAATTTCTCATACCTGTTTTCCAATATCTGGATTCTCAAAAACGAAATTTTATTATAGAAAATGAATGCACCAAGTGTTTACTTTATTTTGATATATGAAATGGGAAAGACGGTGTTAGTTAATTAATTGATATAAGTACAGGGCCATTTTTTGGATAAGATGGCTCTTGCTCTTTGGATATTTTACTTAAAAAAGACGTTAATGGTAATCTAACAACCAAGCTTTATGATAAACGTGATGACTTTAACTTTACAATCGTCAACTTCCCTTATTTATGCAGCAATTTACCTTCATCACCTGCATACGGAATTTATATATCTCAGTTGATTTTATACGCAGGAGTATGCTCTACGTATAAACAATTTCTAAAACGAGGTAAATTATTGACAAAAACAAGTTCATGAAACAAGAATATCAGCAGTCTCGTTTAAAGTCGTCGTTTCGTAAGTTCTATGGTTGATACAATGACCTTGTCAGCAAATAAAATTTATCAATAATTCAAATGATGACGGACGTTTTTTATACTAATTGTTAGTCTATTATTTATACACTGCACTGAATTGAGATGGATTTTTCCGTAATTTTCCGATCATGATAAGGAGTACGAGGCGGATGTGACCGGCTGGCAGGGGTGCTCACTCCTCCATGGCACCTGATCCCACCTCTGATGTTTTGGAGGTCCGTGTTTGCTCTGCTCCTATTTTGTATTGTTTTTCTGGATTTTTGATCTTGAATACTGTTCGTTATCTCCGCATTTTTTATGCATAAAAGTCGGGAAAATTGAACCTATATTCTTGGTTCAATCCTAGTTCCACACATTTAAATCATATCATAAAATTAGGATGCTTCATTATCAATGCATTTTGAAAAATTTGATCCCCGATTGTAACCTCACTCGTTCCTTATAACCCATATTACGAAAATATGAATTAACAGATCATATAATGTTATATACAAACCTGTTAAAGTGTGAAAAAACTAATGTGTATTTTTTCATCTTCTATTTATTCCAGTAAAATCTTGATATTGTCCTTCTCCAAAGTATATATCAAATCAGCTTTTACCATATTTATGTCAAGAGTACTTGTGTTTATTTTTTTCCTATGAAAAGAATTGCTTAATACATGTATTTGTATGAGACATCCATCCTAATTTTGCCTAATCTTGACAGTTTTACCTCCAAAGAGGGCATGATTCGTCATTTCTTCAAGCATGGACTTCTTTCAGCGAAGAATACTATGGGCTAAGTTTGGATTAAATTGGACTAGTGGTTCTTGATATAAAGAAAATATGACGTCATTGCCACCTATTTCGACATTTGCCATAGAGCCGCAGAGTAAGTTGAACTTACCCTGCGGATTCAAATCCCACAGAGGGATATGGAAAGCGGTCCCCCACTTAAAAACGTACAAACCGAAGGCGCCTTGTTCTTGGCGCGAAAAAGTTACTTCACTGCTCAAAAGCCATAAGTGGAGTAAAGGAGTAATTTACAAACCTCCACAGGTAAGTGGTGGCCTCTGGATATGAGTGAAAAATGCCCAAAGGAACGTTAAGCAAACATACAAACAACAACAGATAAAGGACAAATTTCGATGAGAAAAAGTACAATAGAAAATCTTTAGAAATATGGGAGTAGTGTTAATTTATAGATGTTACAGAATAAAAAGACTCAAAAGAGAAGCATTATTTTTTTATGTATGAAAAGATTTCATTTTCTTCAAATTCTGATCAAAAAGTTACTCATTCTGAAAGAATTATTTTTATCCACACGCCAACAGGTTTCATGCTAAATACTGTGATGAGAATTAAAGAAGGATGAAACCAAAAAAAATTATTGAAAAATTATCATTAGCATACAATAATATTTCATATGTTTGGCAGTTTATTATCTAATATCAAGAGGAAAATATTTCATTTCCATATGCAAAGGTAAAAAAATGCCTTTTCTTCTAAAGTGTACAATCAATTCTTAAGATTAACCAACAAAGGGACTTCAACCTTTATAGAGTGATAAACTAAAAACTCATTTGATCCAATCTCATATTTGTCCTTTTCTTGAACTGCAGACCATTTCTTATATCAAAATCAATACAATAATAATACAGGGTGAATTTGAGAAGACAATATAAATGTATATAAAGGACCTTTGTACATCTGACACCTGTGATTGAATGCCTACGATTTATTTGCCAAATAACTATGTGGCAATCACCTGGCTGTGGTCCTTCAAAACACAGGTTTCTTTTAAGATAAATCATCACGAAAAGAAAAAAAAAATTAGTCTGAGTTAAGATATGCTTTTGGCTAATCCACACTAACATTTCATGTTCAAAAATACCTACCTGCATGCCTTCAAACATTATAATAATTGTTCATACAAGAGAATTGAACTTATTCAATGCATTCAGATTTGAGATCAGAAGATGATTCACGAATGCATTAGGAATAATTTTCTAATGTGAAATTTAAAGGATCTGCAGTTTTTTTATAAGAGGAAAATATACTATTGGGTCTGTTCCTACTTGTATGTAGATAAAATTTTAAAAAATAATAATAATAAAACCTTTACATTTTTTGTCAATTTCCGACACTAAGACTTCTAAATGAGCTTTGTAAGTTCAAAGAAGTAATTAAAAATCTAGCCTCTAACCTTGCTCTAAGCCTTGATGAATTGCTTATTTTTGGAAAATTTCTAAAATTAAATATTTATTTGTACCTTATTTGCCAGATTTTCAGAGGAAGCTGCCAAATTCGATAGTTTGTCTTTTCTTTCATGCAAGAGTTCGATATTATCATTATGGCTGGATTCGTTGTTGTTTTTAGTTCTTGTGACGTGTATCTTCGGAGACTTTGGCTAGAAAGAGAATACATAATCATGAAAGAAAATTAAAATATAATATTGATTGTGAAAAGAATATTTAAATGCATATCATACATGTTTGTCAAATTTTCGATTGCAGAGAGTACAAAGATAAATTACATTTAGTATCAAAGTTTGCGGGCAATAAATTCTCAACAACTCTAGAATAAAATTTATATTTAATTTACTGAACTGTATTACTGATCAACTCTGTCGTATACAGGATGGAATTCTGCCATTCATTTACCGAAAAGTATTGTAAAAGTGACTGAATGATTGAGTCCTGCCATTCAGTCAGCTTTCCTGACCTTTCAGTGACTACTGTAAAATCAAATATTTTCAAGGGGTCTAATTTTCGTGGTTTGAGGAAAATATATTGCTTCATGGGGATTTGATTTCGTGGTTGAAGAATATTCTTCAGTACTAATATATGTAAAAAAAAAAATTGCATTTCGTGGTGTACATAAATTTGAGGGTCTCTTCATACCTTGAAATCAACGAAAATTAACCCCACGAAAATTAGTGATTTCACAGTATTTGGTTGACTGAAGGATTGAGTTTCAAAATGTATATTATTTTCCTAACTGCAGAGTCAGATCAATTTCTACATCATCTTGTAACACACAGATTCTTTGTCTTACATAATTCTGTAATTGTTTCCTCAAATTGAGCAAACAAATAAGGTAGTACTTAAATATTTTTCAAAACGCCTTTCTTTTCCCTTAACAAATAAACTGTTTTTAACAGACTTGCTTTGATATTTTGACAGTTATGAATTAATTATAATAATTCAAAACTAATTTTGATTTCTGGTATGATGATTGAATAAGGTGATTTCTTCACTATAGAACTGAAAAATTAAGCATTAAATTATTCTGGATATCTTGTTGAACGCGACAACCACAGTGAACCAGAAATACTGAAAAAGTCCAAGGGTGATGGTCGACCAATCCAAACCTCTGGATGAATCTTTGGGAATTCAAAATGATATAGAAATTGTCATTTTTTTTATATTGATAAAAAAAATTATAAAACCTCTTTCTCCCAGTAGCGTTTTTGGACGCATTATTAGCAAATTCTGACCAGCTGCCATTGCCTGTAACGAACTAGTTAAGCTTTCTTTTTAAAGAACAATCATCCCTCTAAGGTCTTCTGTTAATTCTTCTCGTTATTACCCGAGAAATTATTATTATTTGCCAACAGCTGCTCATTCTATTTATATAACTTTCGATTTCTGCACGTTCCATTTTATTCATAACCGATGTCTCAAACAATTAAAGGTTTCATTCATTCTGTCTAAGGGGATGTAAACTTTCTGACATTATTTCCTCCCTTAAACCTTATCTACACGGGTTATGATTGTTTTCTTATACAGTATCTAGATTTGAAAATATATTGGTGGCTTTGATTTGCTCTACACTCAATATACAGATAATTCTTTATAAAATTTCTTACACAATTGGTACATACTTTATCAAAATTAGGCGGTACAAAAGGCTATTTTTATTAACTTTTATGGTTCACTTGATCCTATGTATCATTTTTAGCTCACCTGAGCCGAAGCCTCAAGTGAGCTTTTCTGATCAAAATTTGTCCGTTGTCTGTCGTCGTTGTAGTCGTTGTCGTTGTTGTCGTTGTTGTCGTCGTTGTCGTAAACTTTTCACATTTTCATCTTCTTCTCAAGAACCACTGGGCCAATTTCAACCAAACTTGACACAAAGTATCCTTGGGTAAAGGGGAATCAAGTTTGTTCAAATGAAGGGCCACGCCCCCTTCCAAGGGGAGATAATTATGAATTTGTGAAAAATTTATGGCATTTTTAAAAAATCTTCTTCTCCAGAACCGCTGGGCCAGGAAAAATGAAACTCAAGTGGAAGCATCCTCAAGTAGTGTAGATTCAAGTTTGTTCAAATCATGACCCCCGGGGCAAGGGTGGGGCCAAAAGGGCCGACCCAAGTTTTACATAGGAATTATAGGAAAAATCTTTTAAAATCTTCTTCTCCAGTACCACTGGGCCAGGAAAGATGAAACTCATGTGGAATCATCCTCAGGTAGTGTAGATTCAAGTTTGTTCAAATCATGACCCCCGGGGAAGGGTGGGGCCAAAATGGCCGACCCAAGTTTTACATAGGAATATATATAGGAAAAATCTTTAAAAATCTTTTCCTTCAGAACCACTGGGCCAGGAAAGATGAAACTCATGTGGAATCATCCTCAGGTAGTGTGGATTCAAGTTTGTTCAATTCATGACCCCCGGGGCTAGGGTAAGGCCAAAATGGCCGACCCAAGTTTTACATAGGAATATATAGGAAAAATCTTTTAAAATCTTTTTCTTCAGAACCACTGGGCCAGGAAAGATGAAATTCATGTGGAAACATCCTCAGGTAGAGCAGATATAAGTTTGTTCAAATCATGACCCCCCGGGGCAAAGGTGGGGCCAAAATGGCCGACCCAAGTTTTACATAGGAATATATAGGAAAAATCTTTAAAAATCTTCTTCTCCAGAACCACTGGGCCAGGAGAGATGAAACTCATGTGGAATCATCCTCAGGTAGTGCAGATTTAAGTTTGTTCAAATCATGACCCCCGGGGCTAAGGTGGGGCCAAAATGGCCGACCCTAGTTTTACATAGGGATATATAGGGAAACCTTTTAAAATCTTCTTTTCAAGTACTTCAAAGCTATGATTTGTGATATTTATATGGAATCATCCTCAGGTAGTGTAGATTCTAGTTTGTTCAAATGATGAACGCCTGGAGGGGGGGGGGGTGGAGTAATTTCAAGCCTGATGTTCTCAGGTGAGCGCTGTGGCCCCTGGGCCTCTTGTTGGTTTTAATATAACAATTATCCAAAGGAAATCTATTTCACAATAAAAATACAAACAATTTTATTTTATTTGCGGGTCATAATTTGACAGTTTGTTCTTTAACTTTACAGTTGGATATGTATCACAGTTATTCAAGTAAATGCTACTCTATCATTACGTATATTTATTTTTATTATATGATTGAATAATTTCTCTCTCTCTGACTGGATGAGATCCAACAATGTTAGAAAAATACTACGTTATATTGACCTGCACGTGACCTTCCAGGTCAATACAAGGACTTATTGCAGGTCAATATAATGAATCACATGACCTTCCAGGTGAACACAAGGAATTATTGCAGGTCAATATAAGGAATTATTTCTGTTCCATATTTCCCGTAACAGTGTGTTCTTGATGAAATATCTCGTTAAAACTTTCAATTAATTGAAAGCTTCTTGTTGAAATATCTCGTAATAACTTTCAATTAATTGAAAACAACAGTCTTGTAGGAATTTGCTATCATTTAATTATGTTCCCCAAACGAAGTTGGGGAACATATTGTTTTTACTCTGTTTCTTATTATTATTATTAAGGTCTTCCGTCTTCAGCGGAAGACCTTATTGTTTTTCTTCGGTTTCTTTTTCACTTTTATTATTAGGGTCTTCCGTCTCCAACGGAAGACCCTTCTATTATTGTAATGTTTCTTTTTCTTATTATTATTTTTTTTCCTACACTGATATCTCAGTAACGGTACAGTGGATCTATATGAAACTTTCGGTGATGAAAGGAAACATTTATGGCTCAATCCGATACCTTCACTTTTTTTAATTTTACTTCCGGTCGTGAAATATGACGTAATTTCTACAATTTTTGTCCGTCCTTCATTGAGAATACTACGCAAAATAGAGATTTGAAATTTTCAGGTATGATTAAATGTGAACTCTACATTTGTAACAGGCTTTTAAATTTTTAAGAAGTTTTTTAAATTTTTCAAATTTTTAATTTAAATTTTTCAAAAAAATTTTTTTAATCCAATTTAAATTTTTTTTATATCATCAAATAGATCTTGGCTAGCACTTTCCAAAAATGTATTTGTTTTGTATGTGAGTACAAAAATGAACATTTTATAAGCTCAGGTGTGTTTTGACATTAGAGTGCAAATGTACTTTTAGAACTTTTCTTTTAAAAATTCATATCTTTTTTATTTATTGACCGATTTCTAATTTTTTTACACCATCAAATACATCTTTTCAAGACCTTTCCAACGGTATATATCTTTTTATTGTACGTGTAATAATGAAGAAAATATAAGCTCAGGTAAGTTAGCCTTTCATTTTGACAGGACATGTCAAATTCATTATCAAGGATCCTTGCGGTTAGACGGTACTCTTTAGATCTCTTTGATCTTTGGTGGAAATCCTTTGATGTATGTAAAACGTCATATCTCGCTCATTTCTTGACCGATTTTAAAAACTTTTAAACCATCAAATAGATCTTTTCAAGACCTTTCCAACGGTATATATCTTGTGATTTTTAATGCACTAATTAAGAAACAATTACCTCAGGTATTTTAGCATGCTGTTTTGACAGAACATGTCAAACTCATTGTGAAGGACGCTTGCGGTTGGTGAGAATGACTGTACTTTATGATCTTTAGCTTGTGTCCTCTGATATACACAAAAATTATTTCACAGTGTAATAGGAAATTCTCAAAGGTCAAATATAATGAAATTGAAACAATTTAAATTTTTTAATTTTGTTTTAAATTGCTTTCTAAGGTAAAATAAGAACTATTATTGCATATTTAAGGATTGAAAACATAAGACCACATAATTGAAAGGTCAAAAATTGTGACTTTTAATCAATTAAATTTTTTCAAAATATTGAAATGGTTCCTAAATGATTCATCTGCATTTTAAAAGATCGATAACAACATATGGTGATTTTTGAAATTTTTCAAATGACAAATAGAATGCAATTTAAATGGTTTAAAATTTTCAAAAATTTGAATTGCTCCCAAATGTCGAATACTTCATTTGTATTTTGACGGATATAGAAGATCATACAACGTGTTTTGAAATATTTCAAAGGTCTAATAGAGTGAGTTTTAAACAATTTAAAAATTTCAAAAAAATTAAATTGCTTCTAAATGTAAAACCAAGTATTATATATGTATTGTGACAAAT